GAAGCTCGCCCGTAAAACAGCCATGGAGGCTCTGCAAAACTCCTCCACTGCCAGCCAAGCCCTGGCGCTGCCCTTTGTTTGCCCGCCCCAGCCCTACCCCAGCTCCCATCGTAGCCCAGCTTGGCACCCTGGGAGCCCCTGCACTCACCCTGCCCTGTGCCAGGAACTGGTGGCACCACGCTGCCAGCCCCGGGGACAGCCAGCGTGGGCAGCCCGCTAGCTCTGCTTGCTGAGGCTTAGAAGCCGCGCCAAGCTGACCCAGAGAGACACCTTCTGTTCGACCCCAAGCAGGTGACTTATTTTCATCACAACGTATCTGGCCTGTAACTGATCTTTTAGCCAGGAATATCCAAGAGTCCTCCACAAGTACGCCTGTCTGACAGAGGCAGAAATTCTTGCTTTACAGAGGGAGGAGATGTGCCCGTAATTTGAGGCTGTAAGAGCAGCGAGAGGATCCCACTTCCTGACGTGCTCCTCATAAGAAAGAGGCTCTGGCTTCACCTCACCTACCGTTAAGTAATCATAAACGGCTGCACGGATAACTTTATTTCAGTTCATAAGTAACTTATTTTGTCTTGGCTTAAAATGGTTCCTGCCGGCCTTACCTGAACAAATATATCCTACTCTCAAGATAAAATAAAAGTGACGTAATGGCCTTTTGCACCGGTGCGTCTGTACCAGGAGACACGGTGTTCTGCCAGTGCTGCTCCTCATGCTGACATCTCTTCCTCTACCTGCTAACTCACAACGCCTAATGTTTAACGAGACGCAGAAATCAAAGAGCCTGTGACAAACACACTGGGAGATGCGGAAGAGCAATGGCAGATAACGTTATAAAGGATGCAAAATGTTAGCTGTGAATCTTATTTACGAAATCCACCGTCTGACGTGGTACCTCTCACAGCAGCGGTACAAAAACCATGCAAAAACCATGTCCTGTGGTTTCTCCACTTGTGTTTCCTAGAGAAAAACATCTTTTTCTATAAAACCTGGCATGCTATCACATGCCTCAGAAAATGACTTGGAGCACGCCATGCAGTTCACATGGCCATCAACACCAGGTTTCCAGCCGGGGTCATCAACATACTCCTCCCATGCACATCTTAGAGGGAGCACCATCCAAATAGGTTAAACACTTAACAGCCCTAAATTGCTGTCTTGGACATGAAAGGTAAGGTTTGGGGTTTTGGGGGCACAAGATTAAACAGCCTGGTACTAATAGTGAGGACAGGTTACTGCGACACCTGCCTTCGGTCTGCTTTGCAGGCAAGGGTTGTGGACCCAACACAAGGGTCCCTTTCTGACCTGAACCAAAGACACCCATCGCCCAGCTAAAAAGCTGGTCACATTATCAGGCACGATTATCTGCTGCCTGCGGGGCTCTTGCTTGGAAACATCATTTTGCTATCACATCTCCTGCGCATGATTTCACTTTCCAGCTGGAAGGCTATGTGGCACACAGGTTTGCCATATCAGTGTATGTCACCTGCTCAGGATCACTCACTTCGTTAGGCGCCAAATGGGCTCGCAATCATTTGCTTCATAAAATGATTCCAAATGGTTTTATTGGGATTTGAAAGAGTTTAAGTGTACTTTGCATCTTGGCCAGCAACTCAGAGATACCACATAGTAAACAGTTTCCAAGAAGTTACCAGGCAATGAAACAAAGTCCTTTTTGGGGATGTAACCATAAAAGCTCATGATCATTTGTCCTTCTGTGATAAAAACAACAAAAAATTACCACCCGAAACATAAACCCGAGGCTTCCCATAACCTGAGAGTATGTATTTAGGCATTATGTACTTATGATAGCGCAGGTACTCACCCGCAGGCAGATGACAGGCAGCCAGTCCAAGTGGAAATTAACCATGTGTGACCATAGGAAGCGCACAGAGCTGACAAAAGGGAACCTCCAACCAACCTTCCAGCCCTATCACCCTGGAGCGATGACCACAGCTTCCCTTCCAGACAAAACTGGTGTGGGTCGGACCAACATCAATGCTGGGGAGTGGCGGTGCTGCATGGAGGAGGTGCTCACTGTCCAGAGCTCACCTTGGGCCTCTCCCACATCAGAGACACCTCTTCCACTTTGTGTTAGGTGGCAGGATCCCAAAATGCACAGAGATTCCCTTACAGAACACAGCCAATTTGTACACAACCTGCATCATCGCTGGCCCTGCAGAGTGGTGGTGGTGGTGTCTCAGCTGAGATGCCTCACTGACCTTACCGGGAATAAAAACCTTCCGCTCACACCTAAAGCCCCGTTCACATCTTGCTGGGTGACACTTGCTCCTCCTGCCAAGTGTCAGCTTTTAAAAGCTCACTTTTTGCCTTTGCGCCATTTTCTCCTGCCCCTTTTAAGACAAATGTTCCTAACAGTTTTTGCAGGGTTTTGGTTTCTTGCTTGGTGTTTTCTTTTGATGGCAGTATAATCCTATTTGAACACAAGAGTGGAGATCATACAATCTCCCTCAACACACTGCAGTCATTGGTCTAGTGGATTTTCCTCAGTCCTGTTCATGTCTGCACTACCTCTGAAAATGTACGTCCTTTGACTCAAAAGATAAATGGAAGAAACCAGAGCTGGCCTCTCCAGTGCCCCGATGGCTTTCCCATGTGCTTCTCCCAGCTGCTGCAAGTTGAATTAGAAGCTGAGTGAAATACAACAGAGATGGGTGAGACTAACGGTGCTCAGCGAGTGCAGAGAAAACCTTGCCCATCCCACTGCCCCTTCTCATCCGGCAAGTAACAGGAGCCAGACTGAAAGCTGGCGAGCAATTTCCTTGTAGCTCCCAGGTCACATGCGAGCACCAGCCCTGGAGCTTTGCATGCCATCGGTCTGCTCGCTGTCAGCGGCCACTCTGAAATAAAATGTAGCCTTTCGGTCAGCGGACCACACAAGGTTAGCTGTGCACCTCGTCAGTGCAGGCGGGGGGATTTTCTGAGGGTCGTGGAGGCTTTCAAGCTATTAGCTGCTTCAGTTTGTGTCACTGATGGACTTGGTAATGGAGATGGAAGAATAAACACAGCCTCACAGCCTGCTTCTTCGAGCTGAGCCAGCGCCTGTTAGCAGGATCAATGCATGTACGTGCTAAGTGGGTACAATTGCCCTAGACCTGCAGAGCACTCAAGCACATTTTTCAATTTAATGTCATGAATAACTCCAAATACCTCCCTTCCCCAGATATTTCCCCATGAATGACAGGAATAACTGTGTTGCGGGGAGACAAAGGGCTCAGACGTTTGTCTGGGAGTTTTTTCTCTCTCGCATTTTTCTGGTCGCCACAAAGAAACCTCCAAACCCCCACATCAACAGCAAAAAAAAACAAAGGGAAATAAATATTAAAAGACTTGTCAGAGGTTCAAAAACAAATTAAAGAAAAATATAGGCTATCCGGCGGAACAAGAAAGCCCAGGTGCTGCAGAGAATGTGAATACCCAGTGCATTTTTAGGACGCTGCATTCACTCCGATGCTCCTGGACCCTGCCCCTCATTCGGCAGTGCTGGAGGCAGCAGGATCCAGGGCTGCCGTCCTCCAGGTCCTTGGCCGCAGGCTGCCTGGCGCCTGGCTGCCAGGTACTGCCATGCTCCACGAGCAGCACGCTCCCACGGAGCTGGGTAGCTGAGAAAACTTCCTTCTTCCTCTTTATACAAAGCCCTGAGTGCCCCAGCGATGCCACTGGGAGAGCAGCTCAGTCCTGCAGCAGCACAGAGCGCTGGCACACCGTGCTGCCCCTCACCTGCACTCCCCTCCTCCCGTCCTCTGCTTTCTGGCAAGCTGCTGGGCACAGAGCTGGGCTACAGCTGCTTCACAGGGATGGAAAAAAAGATCGTGTTTGGAGGATGAAAGGATAATGTCAACTGCCCCAAAAGGAAACTGTCTTGTGCTGGTAATTGATGTCACCAGTTATGTCACTTTCTGGTCAATGCAGATGCCAGGCCACAGTAAATTTGGGCCAGTCTGTGCATTTGCTTGGGCAGCTGGTGTGAAACGCGAGCCCTGTGTCACGTTTGCTGGTGGAGGAAGGGGAGGCGTGGGACGGAGGGAGGAAATTAGTTTTTGAAATAAGACATGGGCTGCATTTAAGAAGGATGATTTCCTTTGAGGAGTTGTTTGCAGTGCTGACCTATCCACAGACCATGAAGAGCAGGAGCCAGGAAGGGCTGGAGCCAGGGCTATCAATCAGAGGAGAGCAAAACTCCAGGGGAGTTTCAGGTTTTGCAGAACTCGCTCAGTTGCCTTTGGACTCTGTAAAGCCGAACCAAAAGCTGGTTGGTGCCAGGACCATTTGAAGCCAAGCCCATAAAAGCCTGGGGAAATTTAGAGAAACTCCCCGTCTTGGCTCGTCTCCAATTCAAATTAACTCCTGCAAGATGAGGAGGTGTTCAGATAAATCTCAGAAACTGCCCTCTAATGGGTCAAGGCAATTTTCTCCAGCGTACAAAAGCGATTTTTCTTGGCTCTGTCTTTGCACTGCATATCTCAGAGTGTACTTAAGATATCTGTGAAAGAAATAAAGAAGTGAGGAAGTCCAAACCCTGCAGCAAGCAACAAAATCCATTATTGAATTTTCTCACAGGCACTGCTCCCAAATAACGCCAGTGAAAAATTGGTTCGAATTTGCAATGAATCTGACTGCAAGAGCTTTGGAAGGAAGTTCACTGTTATCTGAAGGGGAATTTGGGAAGAAATCATATTTTCGTATGTGCTGGCTCAGGAAAGATAATTCTTAATGTTTTTAAGCAATTATCCTGTCCTCAAGTATTGAAGCTTTCTAGATTACGTCCCCAACCTTTTCCCAGGATCCTGGTACAGCGGTGACTCTGAGCACCACTCTGTGGGAGTGCAGATACTGCTAAGATGTAAGATACTGCTGATATAAATGAATATAAACAATGATAATTACAATAGCATACAGAGGAAATGGAGGAAGGCTTCTTAAACATACCAAGGAGAGGAATGGAGGAAAAATAGATGGGTAGCTCTATTTTCCTCTAGCTTCCCGGAGAGGAAGGCAGCCAGGATGGCCGTTTTCTCTTGCTGTGAAAAAGCTCTTCTCTTCTGCTTAGCTACTGACAAGAAGATTTAGGGAAAAAGAGGAAAAAAGGACATTTGTACACCAAAGAAACAAATGGAGGCGGCTTTTGAAGACCTAATTAACAGACTCTGTCCCAAGTCATTTCAGTTCAGCTGCAACACAAAAGTCTGACAGAGATCCATGGGACCGCAACAACCTGCCTAAGAGAGTAAGACCCCCGTAAACAAAACCAGTCCCTCCAAAAAGCCACCCCCCTCCAAATTCATGGGGCTGGGAAGGGGAGGATGCTGCAGCTGAAGGCCTGTTTTCCTGCTCACTAATAAATTTAGTTTACAGAAGCCTTTGTGGGTCCCTTTTAAGGTTGTTTGTTGATTAAAGCGGCAAACAACAAACTTAGCCTTAATTTATGCTTCTTTTAACATTTCAAGCTTGGGGAGGATGCTTTTTATAGGAGTTAATGAGGCAGAATAGGTTCTTTATGGGAAAGATATTTTCTCACCAAATTAAAACCTGTATTGAAAATAAAATAATGAGATGAAGGTGGCTTTTCTTTCAGAAGTAAATAAATCTCAGACTAGGAAACTTCTCACGCACTTGGAACTGTCCTTATCAGAGAGATCTGAGAACAGCAGGTTCATAAGATGTTCTCTCTCTCTTTTAATTTTGCCTTCCTCCTTTCACCAAGACAGTAATAATGCATTGTTTGCTGAAAACAAGCAAGCAGCTCTACTATGTGAAGGCCCAGCAAAAGAGAAAATGTCCATCTCCTTCCCTTTGCTACAGTGAAAGCCCACAGCACCGAACCATCCAGGCACCCCGGGTACCCGAGGGGGTACGCAGGCAGGGCAGAGAAATGGGCCACCCCATGCCACTTTATACACCTGTGTCGGTCGTAAAGTATCTCCTAGCAGAACCCCATGCAGGAGATAATTTTCCACATTAAAACCTACCTGCTGCCCCAAACCTGCTGTGTTTTGCCAGTTTGGTGGAGTGGCGAAGCAAAATGAGGTACCTGAGTGTGCAGCATTGGCAGCTCCTGGCTGACAGGAGCAGTCAGCACAGGATGCTATGAACACACAGAACAACGTCCCTATGTGACAGGAGAGCACTAACCCTGGGTCCTCTTAGCACTGGGAAAGAAAGCCTTCCTTTCATTCCAAGCCACAAGCCACTTGAAGTGATAACCCTGCTTGTCTTCACCGGAAAGGCTGCACAAATGCGAGTCTCGGAGGTGTCAGGTCAGGCTGGGGTGCTCTTTGCTGTGCGTGGTGCCATAAACACAACTGCACTTTTGAGCTATCCTGTTTTCCAACAAAATCTCAATACTCTCTGTAGGAAAAAGTAAAAATAAAAAAAGAAAGCCACCTTCTGGCTTGTTGGTTACCAAAAGGCATTTGAAATGTTTTTCTTCCTAACTCATCCTGAATTTACAGGTGCAAATGGGGCTAAGCCTACTCTGGAGCACGATGACAGTATTTTCTCATCCATCTTTTGACATCTGTAGATGAGACACGCGTTTGCTTGGGACTGCAGGAGCTTTGCAGCAGCAGGAGGAATCCTGCCCCTGCCCTGCCGCTGCTGGCAGGCAGACACAGCACAGATAAGGCCGGTGCACCTGCGGCCTGAGGAAAGCTGTGGCAGTGCCGGCCACCTTATGCAATCAAGCAACAACCCACCTCAAATTTCAAAGCAGTTGCAGCCACCCAGCCCCGTCACAGACGGGTATGAATGGGGCTGTTTTCATATCTCTTATGCAAATGTCTGGGAGGACAACAATGTTATCCATTGTTAGCCACAAACAGCAGGATTTTATCTGGCGCTGGGTCCTGGTTCCTGACCACAGAAAACGTATACAAAGTATAGTTAAAGAAACTTGAGCCAATGGACAGCCACTCCCCATGAAACCACACGCTGTAGGAATGAGAAAAAGAACTCAAGAGGCAAAAAGAAGTCAAAACCTGGGGAAATTCCAGCATTTGGTAATGGCTGGGGAAGATCAGCTCCTGCAAACCCCAATGCTGTATGCAGCTCACCTGCAGAGCAAGGGTGTGAGAGAGAGAAATCAGCTACAGAATGAATAAGAGTTGAAAAAAGAAATGATGCTTTCCTTCCATCCCATGGAAATGTAACAATAGTGCACGCGCATTATCTACAGACATCTGTCCACCGAGAGGCAGGAAAGCAAGGAGAGCAGAGAAGTCCCCAGAGTCAGGCAGGGAGAAGACAGGATATCAAAAGGGGAGAGGCTGTCTGGAGTGAGCTGTGTAAGATGACAGCATCTCAAATATCCAGCAGGAAGATTTGCAAGCTGTGCGACTATGGAATTGGCAATGTGAGACACATGCTGGTGAAGGAAAGACTCTGATGTCACATAAGCTGGATGAACACATTTCCAGCAGGCTGCAGTTTGGAGGGTCAGGAAGCTAAGCTTCTTCATTAGATTCCCTCCTGCTTGCTATCCACACACCCACAAAGTGCAGCCTGAAGTCCTTCAGTACACTGAGCATCACTTAAATATGTTTCCTAGGCTGTCCTGCTGGAAATAAATGAAGAGAAGATCCTTCATCTCAGGTGCTGTGGACACAATGACTGACACAAAGCTGCCTAAATGAAGGGAAGACCTTATGTTCAGTACCTACAGCTCCCCTCAGTTATGACTGCTCCGAAGGACCACAGCACTTAGCATTTCCTTTCTAACTAAGAGGTATGAACTAGACTCCAAGTCAGACTACATGCGCCAGCGTATCTTCATTTTTCTTCTATCTCTGGTGATGCTGGAAGGGAAAATCCCTGTGCTGACCTTGCTGGGTAAAGTTCCAGTTGCCCCAATCACAAGGGAGAGGCACCTGGTTGCAGATACAAACTGCAACAACCGCACCGTGCTGTGGGGCAATGACAGCGAGCTCACAGACTTGTAGGTTCAACCCTGTGTCTCAGGTGGACTCCCTTTCAGACACGGGTTGTTTCACCTTGGAATGGGACTGAAACGACAGCTGGTCAAAAATGTACAACAGACACCGGGGCTGTTCAATGAAAGGCCCGCAGGAAATGTTCACTGATTTACTTATACAATTCAAAATAAATTGAACTCTTCGGGTTTTTTTTTTTGGAATGAAATCAGAATCCTCCAGATTCATTCTCCAGATGAGTATTTTTTGTGCATGTCACTGAATCCTCTAATTATTTCATACTTTGAATCATTTGCTCACTTCTTTTAAAGAACCTTCCTGCTGTCAGTTCCTCTACTGCATGTCCAAATCCCTTCCAATTCTCTCTGAAGTAGTGCTTCCAAACTCTCTTGTCTTCAAGAAAGGATGCAGCAGTTGAAATCAAGCAGCTTGTAATTTTTGGAATTGGTGATACTAAGCTACATCCTAAAAAGCATGTTTTCACCCTAACAGGGGTGAAGAGTCAGTATCTGAAACAAGAACGCAAACAGGTTGCTACAGAAGGAGAGGGGAAGGCAAGCAGCTGGTATTTACATGAGAAACCGTGGTGCTGGAGGCCTCCAGCCCAGCCCTCCACCTTGAGTAAATACGTGGTGGTGTTTGGACAGAACTTCTGATCAGCTTAATAGGCCAATGGATGTCACTGTTGCCCTACATAAACCAAAATGAGAAAGCAAAAAAATAGATAATTAAAACAAAATAAGAGGGTTACAACAGAGGGTTCCCAAGGGCTTCCATTTCATACCCTCTAACCTGGTGTGCTGGTTAGGCTGGACAGCTTCATCAGGGGCTTCATACGGACACACGTAACATATCGTATCGTTAACTGCAGAGATAAGGTCAGGTTAATAGCTATGTGTAAAAAAGGAAGGCTATTGCCAAGGCTAACAGAGATGCAGAATGGAAATCAGAGGCATCTGTGTACAGACAAGTAGGGCTTGCACAGCAGGCAGGATACCAGTTTCTGCTCTGCTCCATGCACCACCACTTCTGCAAACTGCAGCAAAGTCAGAGGAAACATTGAGACATTGCCCCAAAGGCTGAAAATTGGGCTAGTTTTTATTTGTCCCTCTGCATCTTAATAAACCTACAATACAAACTCATACATTTGGGATCTGAAAACAAGGACTTGGTCCTTTGAATCTGAAGCAGCCGTTCAGATACTTAGAAAATCCACACTCACAACTGAATGATTCTTGTCTTCGAGGCTTAAATAAAGGCAGATTTTCCCAAGCAGTTACCAGCGTCACGGTTCCTCCCATTTCACCAGTTCATTTGCGACTTCTCTGAAAACTCAGCAGCAAGAAGCATTTGCTGGTACGTTTACTAAGGAGGATTCAGGCTCGTGCAGCATGACGCTCACTGCTAGGAGAAATTAGGTCACCAAGAGGCTACTGCAGTGACTGCCAGAGATGCAGCTGCCGTATTTCTAGGTCAGTGGTCACTTCCACGATAACGGCTTTATGAAGGTTTAACCAACAAATGGAGTTTTTGCTTGTGTGTCCATGTGCGAGTCAGTAGCCTAATGCGATGAGACACATCTAACATCTAACTTGCTGTTTAAATGTGGGGTAATTTATACTGAATTACTCAAAAAGCTCAGGGAAACCAGTGGAGAGGGGCAGACCCACCAGAGCACAGAACAAAAGAAAAGTATGCCCCATCTTCATGTATTTGCTGTTCTAACACCTCCAGGGAAAGGCACGTGTCCACAAACAGTCCCATAAATGCAGTACCTGGCCTCCGACTGTTTTAAATTTCAGCTGCTTTTTTGGGGTAGCTGCAGAGCAAGCCAGCCATAGGGAAAGCTGCTTCTTACAACCTGGTGGTGAGTCCATGGCTTCCGTCCTGTGGACAAAAACTTCTGAAACATTAACCTATCCGATAAAGCTGTGAGTGCACTCCCACAGCTCAGGTTCTTTTAGGATACACTTCTAAATTGCATCATAACCTCTTTGGGCTCAGTTTCATATTTAACGTAGGTAGCGTGCCATGCCTACAAGCTCATGTTCCAGGTTTAACGTGCCCTCTTGGCTTGTTCTGCTTCAGAGTTGCTCTACTTTGTGTGTTTTTGCTGCTGTTCTCTCTCCCACCCTTTCCATCAAACACACTAAAAGGCATTTAGCTTAACACCGAGTGAGGAGCACTCTCGTAATCTGCAGCTAAGTACTGCTTGCACAACTCTGACGTAAACTCATGATGATGAGTGCCCCACTGCTTCTGTAGCTTTTGGCAGGATCCCAGTACCCTGACCACCAGGCACACAGTCACCATGAAGTCACCCAAAAATGGGGACACAAGTTTTGAACGGTGCCTGAGAAAACAAAGAAAAAGGCATCAAAAGATAGCATGAGTGTGAAGCTTCAGATCCAGATCTAACTCTGCCCGAAGGTGGGAGCCGTGATCTCAGTTCCTGCTGTGTACATGGACCCTACCTCTGTGACAGGGGCTCAAGGCTACTGCAATTTGTTCCCTAAAAGGAAGAACACTATTTAAACAGGGAAAGGCAAGTGCCAGAGACTTGCCTGAATTTAACAGGTCTGGGCGCCAAAATGTACTTGCTATCCCTCAAAATCTTCTAGAGAGACTGTGTGATATGAAGGACAACCCACGTTCTCACACACAGTTCCACAAACAAGTACAGTGCAAATCAACCAAACGGAAAAGGGAACCTCAACTGCACTGATTCAGCACTGGGAACATAGTGCAGCTACTAACCATGGAAGTGAAAACCTCTAAGCTAGCAAAGGTAGAATCAGATCAGCACATTATCATCACCAGGTCTGCAGGCCAAGTACGTTCTTAAAATAGATCTGATGTGTCACCGACCAGCTGTGCAGAAGCACAGAATCGCATTACCCTGGTCTGCTCTCCAGCAATGAACCCAGTCTGAGACATTTCCAAGATGCTCATGAAATTATTTTTTTGTTATCCTACGAGCTCCCTTAGGAAAGTCTTCTTGCTCTGTCTCAGAATAGGCTGAGCTCTTTGAACTCTCTCCCATGAATAGGAATCCTGCGGGTTGCCTGTTTGTAATGAACAGGAACAAGCCTTTGGGAATGTCCGTGTCATGCACTGCTGCTAGTTACTGTTTGTACACGCTCCGAGGACACAGAGTATTCCACAGAACGATGACTCTGTCTTCCCCACCCTGTTATTAGTCCTCTATGAGACATCTCGCCAATTACTTCCTAAGATGAGAACTACACTTATCACACATGTAAAGGCACACTTAAATTAACCTCTATTTTTTTAACTTTCAAAACCTCCAGACCTAAATTTTAAGTCTCTACATTCCCTTATACAACTGAATACAGTTTTGCTTCTCCTGTAAGAACCATGTCAGTATCTGCAAGTTAACAGGTCTCAAAAGCCTTCCCCTGGCACTTATGAATGCAGTGCCACGTATGAATCTCCCTGTGGTTTACACACCTGAACATCATGGATTTCACTGTTGCTGAAATTATGGAGAGAAACGTTTGTTCAGCTACATCTCCAGACTCTACTCCTGCAACATGTATTATAAAGGCTTGTTCTTGCTCCTAGTTAGGTCAACATTACTTTGTGAAGCCTGGTTTGGATGCTTTCTTCACACGGGTGCTGTCCCAGGTGGTGCAGCAAAGTCTGGCTGCAAACAATTTCCTTCTCTTCTTCCTAGGCATCCTTTGTAAGAGCTGGCCCCAAGCTCTGAGCACCTTGCAGGTGCTCCAAATTGCCAAAGAAAAGCAAAGATGTGGCTAACACCCTGTAAAAAAAGGCCGAGGCTCAGTTCAGTGGAAGGCAACAGTTTCTTTTAGCATCAATCTCTCAGGAGCATTGACAGGTCTTGCCGCTTTGTGCTGACTGATTTGCTCAGCCCTTTTGCAGTGACAGGTTCAGAACCTCCCCTGCCATTTCCCATGGCTGTTATTCAGCCCCGTATTCTGACAGAGGCAAAGCCCTCTGCTACGGTTGCCCCAGGAGCAGCTCAGCATCACAGCGCCAATGCTGCGATGCCGTGATGTCAGGCACGCTGTGCTGTCAGGCAATTAAGCTCGTTAGCTTCCATCGCTAACAGAAATTGTGGCTTGTTTGCGTTGGAACGGGCCAGGCAGAGGAACTCGCACTTAACACATAAGGTAAATAACAAAAATGAAGCACTCAAATCTCTAAGTGGGGGAGAATGACTCAATCTGGAGTCAAGTAGAACACCGAAAATCTTAGACATCTAAATAAAAATGCCTGGCTTTATGTATGTCTAAGCTGCAATTCGTGATGTTTTCCTTGGGATTGTCATGGATATTATGTTCATCTGAGAGCTCAGCCAGTTGTACTGTCAATTCCCAAATACTTGGACCCCAAGAAAAGTAGCTGTCATTTTATAAGGTCAAGACTGAATTATAAGCTATGGCATTGCTATAAAGCAAGGCTGCTCCACACCTGGCATCATTGGGTACTGACTGCTGTTGGGTGGAAACACGTAGCACCACCGTGGCTACTTCTGCATCTCTGGGAAGACCAAGCAGATCATCTTCTAGAAGAAAGACTGTAAAGAAGACCCGGCTGTGCTGGGTCTCAAAACCAGATCTCCCTGCTGCTTCTCGTGCCTCAGCAAGCGACTGAGCCACATGCCCCCTGAACAAACACACCAACAGCACGGCAGCAAATACTGCGCACTTCACGTGGCTGCTGGTCAAACACTCAAAACGAGTGAACACAGGACTTGTCTGAGTGATCACCTGCAATCACCTCCCAATGTGCCGGGGTGCTGTCTCACCATCCGTGATGAGGTATTTGACAGCAGAAGCACACCACCACAATATGGAGACTGAGAAGCCTTTGCAGGACCGTGCACAAGGTAAATGAAGAAAGCAAACTGGCACATCGGCAGGACCATTCACACGTTGCTGCTGGTGGACTGGGGTAGACTGGAACTGCTTCACAGAAAAATGCCATTTCCTATGCACTGCTGGCTTGCCTCAGCCCAACAGATTTAAGCCTGTGCTCACCTATACAGCTTCATGCTTAAAAGAAGAAGAAAATAACATAAACCTGGATGAGAGGCGACTGCAAAATTCAATGTCCCAGCTCACCACGTCTCTGAGCGTCCAGTCCCTTACAAAACAAGGCAGAGAGACAGAAGTAGCAGAAGAGAAATACCCGCAACGGGCACCAAAGGGAGCAAGATGAGGAAGCCACAACACAAGGCCTGCCGGGGAGCGCTCTGCAAAAGAACTGGTGTGCCCACGTGGGGCGCAAAACTCCAAATAAACTGTAAAAATCACCAAAACCCAAGCTCACTACACCCGCAGCGCTGGGGTACGCACCGTCGCGACGCAGTCCAGAAGGCCAGGATCTTCTTAAGCTGCGTGCAGATTTGACTGCATCAGTGAGGCTGCCGTCAGCGAGGAGGGTGAACGAAGCGCCTTCACCATCAGCGCTGCAGGTTGTGACGGGGAAGGTGAGGCTGCGCATGGGAAGGCAGGCCAGGGGCAGGAAGGAGAGGGAGCCAGCCTTGCTCACCCTTTTAACAGGCAGCCGCTAATGACAGAGCTCCAGTGGCCAGGAGTCAGACAGCCAGAGCTTGTATGCTCACACTGCACTAATTGCCAGTTGCTGCAGGCACTGAGCTGGTGAGACGAGAGTAAAAGAGAGCAAGGTGACTAAAACAGGGAAGGAAAAGCAGGAGGCATGTAAGAGTGAGCAGCTGACTTGTTTGTTCCCCCTTACAAAAGCAGCGCCACCCGTTATGAAGCTAACGGGAGGCCCCCGTGTCTTAGGGATCCCGAGCTGGCAGGTGCTCCAGCAGATCAGTGCAGCCTCGCAGACTTGCACAGAGGAATGATGATTTGTCCCAGCCCCGCACTGACAATTCCTTCTCGGCCTGAAATGTTCTAATTAATACCTAATTTTAAAAGCTGCTATTTCAGTTTCACGGCAGAGTCGCGGCTCCTCAGGAAATTATAATAAAAACAAACGGGGCAAGACAGCAGTTCTCACACCTTTTCTGGTTTTGATCAGCCAACCTGTGTGATCTCTTGATATTCACAAAGAGAGATTGGAAACAGATTTTACTGCCAGTTTCACAACCACACCTACAAGTGCTCCCAACCCAGCCCTTACGTTGGGAACTAAAGGAGTTGGAGTTGGGTAAGAGCCTGGTCGTTCCTGGCTCCCATACTGCCTTCCTCCAATATTGCCTCTTCTCCTCCAGTGATGAGAAGCAGTCCTGGGAAAGCCCCTTCCCTCCCTGCACGGAGCGATAGTGTGGTGCTGACAACTGGGGGAAAGCTGTTGTAACTCTGGTCCCTGTTCTCCTTTTCTGATGCTGCTTCTCATCTACACCAGAGGGGAAGAGAAAGAGATTGAAAAGGCAAGGAGCAGGATGTTGAAACTAGTATGGGAAAAGAGAAACCACAGAGGAGAAATCCAGAGAAAGGAAGAAAGGGAATCCTTATGAGGAAAGGTCACCTTATGGCATCACACATGATAATCTTTCTGTGCATATTTGGTACCATCCTATCAAATTAAATCATTAATTTTCTCACCAGGGAAACCATAAAATGTTTACGAAAATGATTTCATTCCTTATTAAATTCTGAAGGTCACTGGCTCAGTTAGGGCCATCATGTACCCATCTGCATTTAATCAAATGAGATTTTCCTGTAAGATGGGAGTTTTCAGCCATTCCCCCTGTTCCAGAATCTGAAGCAAGTACAAATTGTTGGACATACAGGTCCTATAGATAGGCAAGTAGAAGCACTGCAAAATGTATAAAGACCTTCGAAAGGCAGGTGCCTAAATTCACGACCTGAGTTTCAAAAATGCAAAGCGGTCTGCAGAACCCATTGACTTCAAGGAGCCCTGCTCAGGCTTTCAGGAATTTTGGAAAAGGAAAGGAGATAAGGATCCCTTTTTTACTGAAAGCTTGGCCTGTAGGGCTGGGCTGGGCTGGGCAACAGGGCTGAGCAAAACGAAAGTGCAAGCACATTGCAGTCTCGGCGCCGGAGCTCGCAGTAATCCAGCAGTTTAAAGTAATCCTCTGTGCTTGCTCGGGGGACCTTGCTGTGGGACAAGTGTGCTAATTTCCCCAAGCGAGCTCTGCCCTGCCCTCCCGCTGTCCTGCTACACTGTGTATTTGCTAATTCATGGCTATTTTCCTCTCCCCATGCAAGGGCACTGTATCTGCTCACTGCATTAGTAACAGATCAGTCCACTCTGAGCCTAAGTAATGATGTGCTGAAATCCAAAATGCTTTCTTTAAAGAGCATACAAGCAGCAGGGCAGCGCGCTCCTTTGATCTCCAACCTGCCCACACAGCTTCCTGCTCTCCTGATCACTGCTGATAGTCAACTCCTTGGGACATCACAAAGCACAGGCCATCATAAAACAGGAGGACCAGAAGCAAGGAAGGTACCCATAACCAAGGTACCAATAATCCCACTCCAGAAACAATACATCTGCTCGACACCCCTAATTACAGCCAGCCAGGACACATTCAGAAGCCTGGTGCTGCAGACAGGAATGTTTTTAATTACATTGGTCCCTTGCCTGCCAGGTAGCCAGTTGCTCTGTCAAGTTACCCAGGTATGGTCCCTTCTCTTCATCGTACACATCTCTGAAGCTGCTAATGCTGAAAGCATCTGGATTAAAGATCACTGGGGACACTAACCATGGCCTTGCTAATAGTGCCCAACAAGACAGTTCACTGCACAGGAAGGGGAATGTAATGTGCTCTGGTTCTTGGCTCCAATTTGCCAGCTCCCATAAAACATGGGAGAAGAAGCAGGATTTGCCTCTGCCACGGGTTCAGTTCAGGTAAGCGGTGGTGCCAGTACTGGGCATTTCTCAGCACATGCTGCTCTTCAACGTTCACCAAGCCATCACTTCTATTATAAAGAGAAATCCTAAGACGCAGTCGCAAAGGTAACCGTGATGTTGAAAATAAAGCGTGGTTCTTGGCACACACAATGTGACTAGGAAATGCATTGTGCAACTCCAAGGAATTAAAGAAAGCCAGCTAACCACGAGTGAAGCAGAAGCACTCCAGCAGCTGGGAAGGCAGCACAATATTTGAAGGCAACGTAAACTAGAGTTCACTGCAACATAAAAGTTGTGCTTGGCTTCTTAACCTGAATTATTCTGCGTACCGAAAACATGAGCAAGCTCTGATTCAATGCTTTTTATGGTAAGGAAGAGTCCATGATCTAGCACACATGCTGTGACATCTCTTTTAAGAGTGCATCCTACTCAGCGAGCACCTCTACCAGTATTTTTCACCCAGCTGAGACTTTTTTATTGTTTTATGGATAAAGCATGGATTGTTATAAATACTGACAGTGTTCGAGTTATGTGAGCACGCAGAAGACACAAGATGTACAGAAACTGTGGCCAGCTGTGAAATGAAGCTGCAGTAATTAAAACACTACCAGCCATCCCCTTACTATTAATCCTAAAGCAAAAGCATTCTCAGTACAGACTGAGAGCCAGCTGCGATAAACACATCTTGGGTTACCAGTGCCTTCCAGCGGGGCACAAGTCCCTCGGAAATGCCTTTCATCTTGATCACCAGCCTTTCATGTCTACGGGAACAGCTCATCTCAGAGGATTTCACCAAAGATACTGACTTGGTGGCTTGATAACCAGAGAACTTAGAGGGAAACTCGAATTATGCAACCTGTCATAGTTGACAGTCTCTGTATTTCTAAAGAAATCAGCATTTCTTGGCTTTTTGATATGATGCCCTACTTCCAACACAACTTTTCACTCAGTTATCCCACAGGCAAAGTAGTTCACTCTTGTGCCAGCACTTAGGATCCTTTTGCAGGTCAGACCCGTTCCTACCCGTGATGCAGAACAGGAGCACGATCTTTCTTGCCAACCTTCTCCTGCACCCTATCAGCCTGAAAATGGAAAGAGCTATCAGCTTCTACTTCTGAATCCTAATTCAAGAGGGTGCTTGAAGCCAGTGCTGGCTGTTAAGCACGTGTCTGTGCTCTGTACGTGTGCTTCATTTGCAGCACGGACTGAAGTCCACAATAACAAGACACACACATGGGCTCAGGGTGACAGAGAGGCTTACGTGCTTTCCTGAACGCAGGAGGCTGAGGTGCCTGTCTGATGAGAGGCTGAACAAGACTGTGACCCTACTGTCTTGTACACAACTCTGCTCAGCAAATTGCGTTCGGCAGCCTCACAACCCATAACCAGATGGAAAAACATATTTTTCCTTCCAACAGATAATCAGATGTTTGCTGAGGGCACTGAAGTTCCCATCACACAGCCTGTTTTCTTCCTTCTGTGTCACAGCAAAACCCTGATCCTGTGGAGGCAAAATGGTTTGTGAGAGGAGGGCATCTCAGGGGCAAGATCTTGTTACTTCCAAAGATCAAAACCAGAGTTTTCTTTGGTCATTAGACCCCACATAAATCTTTCTCCTCCAGAAGTGTCTACCTGGGTGATGCATTTTGCTTAGAGCAGTGGTAGTGACAGATCTGCACAAGCTCCTTCTCCTCTTGGAGAGGTTTAGCAATAAAACGTGAAGCCTCACAATATCACATCAAAGAAATTCCCGACAAGTTCATAGGGCATCACAGCATGCAATTGCTGCTAATCTTTCTTTAGCAGCTTTCTTCAGCCTGCTTACTGCCTTTGTCACAAAGTTCACACCTGGTAAGTTTCTGAGTTACCTGTCACAGACATTTTTCCTTATTTTTACAGCTAGTTTGGGGGAAAATAAAGGCAACGTGGCATTCATTGCTTCCAAGACAACTCAAGAAGGCACTTGTCCTCATGCTAATTCTGAAGTGCATGCCCAAAAGCTTCGCTCAAAGCGAGACTGTGATTCCTTCTGCAAGTATTCATACATAACTGATGCTGCATTAAAACCCCGTCTGTTAATTTGGCGTAATGTTAGCTACGAGCCTTCCTGTTTCCTGATGGCAGAGATGAAAGGCAAAGTCAACGTGTACAACAGGAGCCTGGCTGCTAAACGATCCTGGTCCAAAGTTTTCACGTGTTTCTAGGATGAAATGAAGTTTCCATCTAAAAAGAAATGTTTTATTTTGAGTTGACAACACCTCTGATGATGTCCTACCTCTTCTCTCAGGCAGGTAAACTGTGGTGAACGTGTGATATAGCTGTCCTGAAATCCTCCCTTCAAAAGGTAGTAGGACAGCAAGTTACTAAGATTGGAAATATTTTGGCTTTGATGCTAGGAGACCTTTCAGCACAAGAAATGCAACAAAAACTACAAAAAATGACAGGAGAGTATTTGGAGTGGCCTGGATCTCCAAAGTCCAGATCAAGACCTTTCCAAAGGCCAGACATTCACGGTCTTATTATTCCCTGGTGCATACTGAGTTAGGGGAAATACACATGCCGTGCATACAGTTATTTCCCATTCACTCCAGAATAAATGAGAACAGAATCAGACTCCAAAGTAATTGCTTGCGAACTGTTAGTAAACGCTCTCTGTAAGGCTCTGTAAAGCCCTGAGCCACCCATCGTGCATGTGGTATTTATTTTAAGGGGATAAATAATGCAGGGTGGAAGAAAAAAATCCCACGCAGTCAACTCACAACATTCCAGAGTTATTTACCAGTGGCTTTTTTGCTTCTGTTGCCTTTTTTTTTTTTTTTTAAAACAGTTAAATAGTGTCCTGCTTGATTCATTAGTTTGGTCTCCAGTGAATAACTGGAGGTTTTTACACATGTAGCAAAGATATCCCAAGATGTAATTGTAGGGATTTGTGTCACTTTGATAGCTGCTGTATGTACAGAGCTGGGGCTTGGGTTTTTACCCTCTTTTCCATTTTTTTTCCCTGTTGGTGAGAACCGAGGGAAGGCAGCAACAACCAATCCCATCATGGGCTCATTTGTCCTGCTGGTGTCTCTCACCCCACAGTGCATCTGATACATTTTTCAGCACATGCTAAAAAACTCCTCAAGCTGACCCTGCGGTGTGCAAGGTGCGGGCAGCGACTTCCCGACACTTCTCAGGACTTGCCATCGGGGGAATTCTCATGCCCCACCACCCACCCTGAGCAACCTTCACGACAAAACAAGGCTGAATGCCTTCAGAAATGATTCCGGTCAGAGCAAATGTTGCACATGTTTTATCACCCGGGAAACTCAGAAACTTTCCAAGAATGAAGTTATGGGAGCCCGGCAAGCCAGGGGGCTGCAATGCACTGTCTCTCGCAGACAACAAGGCCTCAGTGTCAAAGCAACAAGACCAAGGGCAGAGAGGGAGGAGGAGAAAGGCACCCTGAGAACCTGCAGGACACTGGTTACAAACAGGTGGCTGAATACTAAAGAAAGAGACACAGAGAGAACAAGCAGCAAGACACAGGCATGAATGGAATATATTTTACAGGCTGGTATGAGGAATTTAAGGAATTAAGAAGGTTCTTTCTTGTTTCCCAGCCTAGAAGAAATGTTCAGTCTTTAATTATCGCTCGTCTCGCTGATGGAACATAAATCCTCAAGAATTCCCTTCTGGGGGACTCCACAGTCTTTGACTTACCTGACACATAGAAAGAATTTGATTTTGTGCCTGACGCTGCTGTCAGCAAATGAGAGAAGCTGCTGTTAGAGGTTTTAGCCTCCTTTGTTAATCTCAGTTTGAACAGTTTGAGGACTTCAGGCGGATTGGCATTAAACAAAAACGTCCAGTGTGCTTTTGCCCTAAATTCCAGGGTGCTATGCTGTGACAGGAGTGCTGGCTGTCACCTCTCTCTCCCCCTTCCTCCAGGACGTGGCCTCTCTAGCCAAGGGCTTGATCCTGCAGGGCTGTGTGTCCTGTCCCCCCGCGAGTAATCCAGATCACTTCAGTGGATCTACTCACATTCTCAAAGCTGATCCTGATCTTAAAAGCTGGATCAAAACAGAATGTTTGGCGGCACACAGGACTGAGCCACTGGGGAACCAGTGATTTCAGTAAGCCTTGCAGCTGGGTCTGCTGCTCACCCTCATGGCAGCACTGCAAGCAGACGGCATGCCTGCAGTGATCTGCCGGCACTTTGCGCTGCGTTAGAAACTCCTGATTGCAGGCAACGTGCCCAACAGAAATCCCCAGTAAGCACCAAAGGTGGTGAAACTATGAGTGGAGCAATTTCCAGACTCTGGGACAGGTCAGAGCCAGACTGAAGTGTAGATCATGCATTTCTGGCTTACCTTTAACTATGCCAGTGCTTGTGAGTAAGGAAACCCTCATGACCTCCACGCTTGGAGCAGCTCACGCTGAACTTATGGGGACTTGCTTGGGTTTCAAGAAAAATCTTTAGCTTGGGTTTCAAGAAAAATCTCGTTCTAATTCACCCTCATTTCTGTTGGAGAAACCCTAATGGGTTTAAAGACAATGTTAGATGGAAGATCTGTGGGGAGTTAAAGTCCCTGTTGTTTGTCCGCCTGCCTTTAATCTCCAGCAGTGCAGAATGTGTTTTGGTTTCTGCTCTGGACCTCTCGCTATTGTAACAAAACGCATGGGCTGGATTCTGCCCCATTTGCTCTGCCTGTTTCCTGCACCAGGGTCACAGGAATGTGACTGAGAATACATCTATCAGCTGGAGAGGAGCCTTCTCTTCACATCTCTAAGGCCTAATGCAGTTTATGCACAGGATTTAAAGCAACTCACCCTGTTGTTCCTGTGCCCTCCGGCAATCCACATTCAATGCAGGAGCCAAGTTTTATAGCATAAACAAAGCAGGTTGCTAAATAATTGACCTGACAAACTGGTTGGAAAGGTTGTGCTTCCAATCTGGCAAAGAGGCAAGCTGGTCCCTTGACCTCAGGAACAAATCCGGGCCCTGGTTTCAGGGAACAGACATCACCTAATGCTTTGGTCCTACCAACATGCCAGGTGATACAGGTAGGTGGTAAGTATGTATGGCTCTTAGATGTCCTAGGACAGGACATCAGGAACCCTGTTTGGCTTAGCCTTAGACACAAAGGCTAGCAGTCAAGTAATTATGTCTTTCTTTTTTTTTTTTTTTTTGATGTACCACCTCCTTCCAGCACGAGCTACGTTTGCTTTGTTCAGCCAGCAAGCAACCACAACAGCTATTGTACCGCGCTCTTCATCTCCCTGAGGGGAAGCCAGAGTGGCAGTGCACTGAAAAACAAGTCTGTTCATCAAGCTTTTTTTTTTTCTTGGCGAATCTGTCTTTGAACACTAGCCCCTGAGAGCAAATGTGTGTAAGGAACCTGAAATGTGACAGCATGAACTCGGGGCTCACAGAAGGTTTACAGTGGAGCTGTTTTCATTAAAAAGATAAGATCCTTCAGAATTCCTGGGCAGCTTATGGTAACGTTGAACCCTTATTCATTCTTAAAAAAAGCAGTTTGTTACAAAATCTCATAAGCACACACACACAAGGGCAAGTTAGATGAAAGATGTCTGCCTGTTAAGTTTCCTGACAGAAGATATTTTAATGACTCTGAAATTAAAGTGAGATCCTCTTACATACACTTTAATGATGAAAAAATAACGCTTATCTCTTGCCCTGGTCTTTTCTTTAGGAAAAGGCAAAGCACACACCCAGTGCCGTCCAGGAGATGCATGGCAGAGCTGGGAATAGAATGGGGTCTCACATGTCTGATCCTAAGCACATAACCAGTATATAGCAGAGGAAAGCTGCAAGGATCCTTATGCCACATCTGGCCATTGCAGAACCGTAGCTACTGGTGTTTGTCACCTAACAACACTTCTCAGAAAATTTCCATTTTCAGAAGTGTTATTAGTAACAGCTAGAGCTAGCTGATGTCCTGCTGATGAAAAAACAATCTCGGAAGAAATTACTTTTTTCTCAAAAGCAAATGCGTTCTTCATACCACCAACCTGTTGATGCAGATGGGATTAAGAGAACACAGCTCAGTGCATAAACACACAGGAAAGCTCATGACTTTCTGCTGAGTGTTGCTTTGAGATCGAACCTCACATACCCAATAGGCACAAGTGATATCGTATCTTCACAAAGAGCTGCATTCCTCCTTGATGAGATTATTAAAATGGCATCTCTTTATTTATTTGTGAATTCTTTGTAAATCTTTGGAAATTACATGGAAAGTGTGATTGTCATAAAAACGTGACCATCTCATTTGCTTCTTGTTACAGTAGAGAAACAGGCAGAATCTCACAGAGGATGGAAAACATTTGGTACAGCCCTTCTATTGCACAAGACAAATCTCTGCAACAGTCACGACTGCAATGGCCTCTTTCAGAGCATCTCTCGGGTCAGTACTGCTGCTCTGCCACACAGCACTTCTCAAATCCAAACTCAAATACTCCACACTAAAAGTCACTACTAAAATGAATGTATTTGGGCCAAGTAACTGTGTGCTCTAACTTCACGGGCAAGACACTTGTAGAGCAAATAAACATGATCTACTCAATCAGCCCTGGAGGCTGCAGGGCCACAAGGATGGCCGTAATGCCCTTTGGGCTGATGAGGCCCGCCTGATACCACAGGGCATACCTGGAGACTTCTGCTGCCTCAAGGCCTGACTCTGCCTTTTGCTCTGCTTTTATGGCAGTAAGCACCCTGGGTTCCTAACCCACAGCAGGGCTCCTTGGAAGTACAATAATGCAGGTAACAACCAGCAATAATTACAAGCCGGTGTCATGATTCCAAGGCCAATGCAGTATCCAGCACTTCACTGCCTCCAGCTCACACAAAGGGGATTGCTTGTTTGTTTTTTAAAAAGTGTCATCTCAGTTCCCTCATTTGAGCTACCTGTTTTCAACAAAGCATTGCAGGACTAGAACCGATCAAGCATCCACTGGATAGGGATTGGGTTATGAAGATGACCACGAGGCTTTTGGAAAAAAAAAAGATATAGGACACTGCAAAGGAGCTGATCCAACCTACCATCTGCTAAAGCAGAAATTCAGGGTCAGTCATTAATGCCAAATAAAGCTGACGTTGCTGGGCCTTTCTCTCCGTGATTTGAACAGCACGTTAGCTCCTCAGAATGTCCGTTTGTCAGAGGCTCAGACAAAACTGGGACAAGGAACAAAGCACCTTTCACCCCAGAGCATGTTGTGGGTCAGAAGGTCAGAAGACAGCTCCCATTAACCTTGTGACTGCTGCTGAAAAGCTCAGGGCCCTGAAAAATACTCCTCTGCCCATCTCCAGGGAATGGAGGTGGCTATGTCAAGGCTGGGAAGAACAAACCTGAGTATGGGCAGCATTGAGCAGTTTAGGCCTGCAAGCTTTACTCACATGGGTAATCCTTATTGTCTGATTAGTCCCACTGCAGTCATGAGGGGAGGGGGTGCCCATGTAAACCTGCAGAAGGAGGAGAAGAGGCCTTAGCAATGGAAAATGTGCTGAGATATACGCGGCGGTAGCTTTGCAGCCCCTTCTTCCATTGTGCCTATTCTGCTTTCCCCAGTCTATCCCTTTGTTTTTCCTCTCATCACGTCCATGTCAATAAGGCAAAAGCCCTTGGAAAGAATTGCCAGTGGCTTCCTGGTGGCCCACATGCATTGTGGGCTGGATGTGCCGTATGCAGTATGTGCACACAAGGGATGTAAAGAAACAGGAACACCATTTGGAGAGGCTGGGAGGAACACGTTACAGGAAAACCTGTTTTCATGAGATGTCCCAGCTTGGTGTTACAGATCCATCAGCCTCTCAGGCTGTTCAGCACTCTCAGGGGCAGTCCAGCAATTAATGTCTCCCTAAACACATGTAGAAGAGGCTCTTAATTCCCTACTTCCACCAAAGTCTTACCTACAGCCTGCTTTATGTGACCAGCTGCACTTCTGCACGTAAAGCATGCAGCATACAAAAAATATAAAAGATTTGGACATCATTGCAGAGCAAAACCAAACTCCTTGTTCCTCAGCGTTTCTTTCCCTTCTCTTGTCTCCTTACAGAAGCACACAAAACAACCAGGGCTTTCTTTGGGCTTCCTGTGAAGCAATGCACGCGCGCACGCCCACACACACCCATTCCCATACCATGAGCTGTAAAATGGCTTCTGGCCCTGTGCCTTATGATTTATCTTCAACTTCAAACAAACAGAGAGATATATAAAGGACGGTACAAAGCTGTGGTTCCCTGGGATCTCCTCCATGGCAGAAATGCTTCGTGGTTGAGCAGCAGGCCAACCCTACAGTGTATTCCTTACCTCTCGTGAAGCAGAGAGGTAAGGAAGTGACAGCATCCTGCCAGCTACACCGCGTTTGAATGCTGAATCTCACCACCAACAGCAAGGTCCTGCTATACAAGGCACCCTCCCTTATAACCTGTGTCCTCCTGCTCCTGGGTGTGCAGGGCTGAATGGAGCTGGGGGCTCCCACAGCCTGGCTGGGTAGGAGAAGAGTGGAGCATTCGATCCTGTTTTAGCCTCAAAATACTCATTCCTGGGTGACTGAGGCTGAGGAAGGCAATATTTTTCTCTTGCCAAGAAGTATTTCTTCTCGCCACCTACTTAGCAGGAAAATCTTCTGGGTTGCGGTTACAACAACCAGGTCAAAGTACAAAGACATTCCTCTGAAAATTAGAGAGAAAGGCTTCATTTTTTCCTTTTAATTGACGTTTCATACCTTCAGCAGTGCAATGTATTTTGCGAAGTGCTTTGCACATGGTAATTAAGCCTCATAACACCCCTCACCTGTAGGAAGGCCAGCCGCACACTCTGCACAGACGGAGAAATGCAAATACACAAAAGTAAACATCTTGCCTCTCGTCTCACAGTGGTTACGTGGCACAGCCAGAAAGGAAATCCAGGCATCCTGGCCCCTAACACTTGAGCTCATCTCCCCCTAACAACTGTGAAAAAAGGAGAAAACTCATTTCTGCTCAGTGGTGATGATCTGGTTCCTACCCTACTGCCCTCCTACCAGCCAGCCCTCCAAGCACAGGGGCAGAGAGCGGAGGACACAGAGACCACTGTCCCTTCAGCTCTGCAGGTTTATACCAGACTGATAAGAGAAAGAGGCTGTCAGTTTGCAGGCTGGCCAGCCTGCAGGTTCCTCTGCAACTCTAGGGCCCACTTACCATCACAAGCTTGTTTATGGACTAAGCAAGTGCTTCTCTGAGCAGTAGATTCCTTTTTAGTCATGGCACTTGTCTGTGAGCAATGGGAACTTCTACAGGTCTTGCTTTTTCGTGAGGAGCCACCATTTATCTTTCTCCTTCAGCAGTTTCACACAGCCTCACACAGACCAAACGGGCTCGTGCTTTCTCTGAGCGCTAAGCTCCTACGTTGTTTTGATGAAAAATGCAGTACAGAAGGAAGAATGCTGACTTGTATTTTCCTTCAGGTTAAATGGACATCACTTCACCCAAGTCACAACGTTTCCGTCCCTTTTTCTGTGAGAGAACCGGCCCAGTGGCGTATCTTTGCATTGCTAAGCTGCACTCCACTCCATCTTTGCTCCCAGCCAATGCCTACACAAAGCAAAACACCAAGTTGCACAAAGTTGCCCCAAGAGCAAGCAGCTACCCATCATTATAGCAATCCAACAGGAGTCTGAAATGGCACACCTAGTAATCAGACTTTATACACCGCAACTCCAGGCTTTTATTTTAATGCTTTATATTGGGGAAGGCCATACTGCTGACTTTTTAAAAGCAGATAAAGTAGGTTAATTATTCTTTCCTTAAGCTTCCAAGGTGATTAGAGCTGGGTAAACAGTGAAAAATAATACCAGCTGTCTTAGTCCTAGATTGAAATGATGCTAAGTGCTGATGGCTCATGTTTTTCTTTGCCCCTGAACAGTCCCACAAAGGCTCTTTGCAAAGCACCAAATACGAGATTGGGAGGAGGGGCGACATTCCCTGACGTCTTCGTATGCACCTTGCTAGTAATCCAGGAAGCAAAATGGGACAAAGTCCCAGTCCCCATGTCTCTCCAAGTCTGCTAACTCAGAAGCAACAGCACCCAGAGATCTAAGAGACCGTGCCCCAGCTCACAACCTGAAAATAGTCGTGGTCTGAAAAAGGTTAGTCCAGAATATCTGTTAGGATCTCTTAAAAAAAGAGATCATTTTATGAAATATCAGCATCTGCTTCCATGTTGTTGAAGGGACGAGGCGAAAGGCAACATTCACTGAACACATCTGGTTGTTCTGAAATTGCTTATTCAGCTCTAAGAGGTTTAATTCCTTCAACATAAGTTCTTAAACCTGTTCAGCGAATTCCGCCTCTTCTACGCAGACATGACCATCCTTCCTTCCTGAGAAATTGATATCTCATGTCAGTTTGTATTTATGGTCAATAAATGTCCAGAGCTGAAGTTGCTGGTATTTGTTTCTAGAGAGGGAGGACCCTTGCTGCCTCAACTCCAGACCTAGAGCAATACCACTTGCTCTTGTATTTAACAATATCAAGAAGCTTGTTCCTGTAAAACAATTATCTGCAGAAACAAAAAAAAAAAAAGGAAAAAAAAAAAAAACACACAAAAAAACTATGAGGTTCCAAAACAGCGTGTCTGAAGGCTTAATGGGTTGATTTATGAGTCTGGGTCCCTCCCACTGTGGCTCAAAGTAAATGTTCAGTTATGATGTTGTCAAGGGCTGGCTGATCATTTCCTGCTTTTGTCAGCTTTCCAAAAAGGACCAGCCATTGTTCCTCTTCCAGAAGCACAGCCTCTCTGATAAGAATAACTTGAAAAAACAAGATGAGTTCAAACTCCACTAGCACTAATCCATCATTAGGCCCAAACTCCTTTTTGTTAGATCATGTAAAAAAAGGCAAGGGCAACAGAGCTAAACAGCATGGAATAAAAATGTTTGGAATTGAATATGAGAAGTGCTGTGTTTGCATTTGGTTTGTGAAAAGCTCGACTCTGACCTGACACTAGCAGCTGATCTGGTAGTCTTCAGTAAGGTTGTGGGACAGGGACTTCAGGTATGCTAGGAGCTGAGGAGAAACATCAGGCACCTTGGAGGTTTTAGCATGTGGAAGCAGCAAAATGCCTTTGTTCTCTCTATAAATTTCTTGGTGATGATAAGAGAGCAGCTCTAGTTCCAGAGCGTGGGAGAGCATGACCTGTGAATAAAATTTTTCCTACTCTCAGTTGGACATAAGGGAGGCATATCCTAGGATGCGACAGTTGTAAAAAGCCAAAGGACTGCTGGTTTCAAGCTCTAAATGGTTAAAGGAAGAAATGGGAAATGTCATAATGGCTGAGCCAAGATGCATTTGTGCAAGACCTTCCAGCACGAAAGCTGCTTTTAGATGTCCCAGGGAACCTCGAAGGTCCACAAATTTACCAGCATCGGCCAAGAGGCACTTAGATGTGTAAATAAAGTAACTGCACTTAGCCCTGGGTCCCAGCATGTAACCCCTGCAGAGGAACAAACTTTGTCAGCTCTGATAAGGACATAGGCTGCTTACACAAAGGCGAGTGTTTTGTGGCCCCACAGACGGCATGTTATGAACAGCAACAAAATCTGTATGTGGTTTAAGGGCACTAACCTGGTGTGGTAGATAGCAGGTCTGAGGTGGGTAATCTGACCCTACAGTAATCCTAATCTACCACCACCCAAGTTTGGTTTGGATGTGCTGGATGTGCATGTGAGTATTTGGGGGGAACCTACTGGTGACTTTTAAGAATTCCTGCTAGTTAGTACAGAAACGTCCTTGGAAATTGTTATGTGTAGTGTTCCTCAAGCAGAGATGACAAAACCAACGTATAGGCTCTAAAGACAGGAGAGAAATTAAGCCAGTGCTCATTTATGAGTCACAGAAAATACTGCATATGACAAACAATGTAAGAACAAAAATCACAACTGAAGTGACACCACTAGAGCATAAGGAATACAAAGGGATGAATAAATTAGGACAAAGGACCTGAGACATAAGAGATGTTGCAGAAGTGTGTGAAATGGTACAGACCAAGCTGGTATAGCTCTTGCTAACCTTTCCAAAGAGAAATCACTATCAGTAAAATCTGGAAAAAAAAAAAAAAAAGAAAAAAAAGAAACACACAAAAAAACTCTTTTTATTCTATAACCCCCAAGTATCCAAGAAACAGAACTTGCCACTGCACAACAATATTGGGAAAAAAAAAATCCTAAAAAAAATAATGCAAGACTGAAATAAGACTCAAAGAACTAGTCTTCAGGGCACACTGTTTGCCAGGTACCTTACTGAAAGGAGCCAGTGCTGCGTACTCTGCAGCTCATTTTGTTAAGTGACACCAGAGACAAAACACTAGATTAAAAGGAACGCTGACTTTTTCAGAAAGGGTCATTCATATGTTGCTAAAATACTATCAACCTTCAAAATGGTTTGTGTTTTAGATGCTCTCTGTTATGCAAATTCTGTGAAGA